GAAAACTTTTGGGGTCAAGCACGAAGAAGCAACCACGTCTCACGTCAAATTTTATCAAATCCTTCAACAAGAGGTCGTTAATCTCGATTACGTCATCAAAGTCATGAGCTAGAAAGCGAAGCTGAACTCAAAGAAGCGAAGCAGATTCGGAGATTACAGCGAACGAGACAAACAAAAACGTGTAACGAGAATTGCGCCAAAGATTGAGAAGCAACACACAACGTACGTGTAAAAAAAAAAAAAATCGATTTTATCAATTGCGCGCAGGAAACGACAGAACTAAATATACCTGCTACAAAGAATGATGTTACATCAACGAATTACAGAACCAAGACAAGGGGAAGAAAAACAATCTAGAGGCTCCAGACGCGCTCTGTTTCCAAGGCGACCTCGCGCCATGGAAAGCATTTTGAGGCATTTGAATCCGCAAGGCCTGCTTCCTAGATGCCCAAGAAGGTAGAGTAGATTGTTCGGCTAGTTGGTTTTGGAACTTGGAATACATCTTAGCGCTCTAAAAACAAGGACAAAGAGACGAGAAAAAGACAGCACAGTGCGCTGTCTGTTTCTCGTCTCTTTGTCCTTGTTTTTTGAGCGCTAAGATTATTCCAAGCCCAAGCAGGCTTCGATATTTTCTCTGGAACGTCAATGCTGCTCCGCTAAACGACAACAAATGAAAAAAAAAGCAAAACAAACAAAAAAGCCACGCCTGATAAACGCAACGAAGTGATCACTAATTCGCAGCTTCTGCGAAACTTTATAGAATTGACAAACGAAAAGCAGACAGCGTACTATTACGAACTTGAAACGATCTTGGATAGTTATCGTGTGGGGGAAATTGTTAAAACATCCTTCTTTTTGTTGAGGAAGAGGACGATGTTGAGTAGATAGGGACGATTAACAATAAATAAGTGAGAGTGGAGGCTCGGGCTCAAGCAGCGTGAAACGCAACTATAATATAAATACTGTATACAAAACCTTGTTTATACGTAGAAACGCACGACTGGTTGTCCCCTATACGCTGCCCATGCTTTATGGCAAGGCAGCGCCGTTCCGACACATACTACAGAACAACTACACTAGCATCTGGCACAGATCTGAAAAAATTGCCAATGTACATAGTCAACTTGTGTAGCTAAGTTTCTGACAAAAATGAGTGCAATTGATGATCCAGTGTATATTCATTTCTTTGGCATAATCTATACTTCATCGTACTTTACAACCGTGGAGCTCATGTGGACCTCCAAAATTCTCGAAACGCGTATATATCAATACCAGATTGAAAATTTCTGTCAATAGACATTGCATTGTAGGTTTTTAGCAGGCATGCCAGCGGGTAGGCGGACATCACATCAGCATAAAACGCGCCTGAAAACTTGGAGGACTGCCTATATGGTTCAGAGAAAGTATTTGCGCAATCAACAGAACGACGCAAAACTTAGTGCAGGAAATGCATATTTTGTTTTCTTCGTTTGTGAAGATAAAACCGACCAAGATCCACCTAGAGAGGATCGTAGTTTTAAAAGCGACGGCGGGCAATCCACATCTCACAAATAATTTGCACTAACAGACGTTGGACATTTTAAATTAAACTAGGCCACAGGACGAGGTGTCTTGTCGTTCTGTCTTAACTTTTTTTTTCAATTCCTTTTACGTTATTCTTGAAATTTAACGCGGAGTAGTCGATAATACTCCTTATCTTAAATGTCAGCTTATATTTTTGTGTCATGGATATTTTTATGCACGATCACCAGCATCTAGCTTTTAGTCATACAAAACAATTATAATTTTTTTTTAAAAATCTGGTAGTCTATTAATGAAATGACATACGTCATGATCGATGGAACATTTCAGATTGTCGTCCAATAAATAGATTTTAACAAAATGTACTCTTCCATGAGATGAAGTACAAGGAGGTATAGTGTTTTTAGCTTCAGGTGTTGTTTTGGTGTGGACCTATTTTTGACAAACTGTTTGCTAGAGATTCTATATCTCGTTTAGTATATCATATATCTTTATGCAGTTTGACTTCCCTTTTTCACCTTACTTATCCCTATATGTAGCTTTGATGAAAATATATTAAATGAAGTAAACAGTAAAACTATTTATAAAAACAGCTAAAGCGACGATGAAAGCACCGTACGTTTGCTGTGCAGTACAGACTAGACCTATTTACACTCGTCAAAAAAATCATTTTTAAATTTGCTCGCCGTCTCGTAGGAGCAGCGCCAACTATGCGTGTCCGCGATAGTTTGGCTACGCAATCAAAATTAACTGTTAGGCTAGTTGGCTGTACATTGTTAAAAATCAAAAGCGCAAACACAAAGAAAAAAAGAGGGGACACGACAAAGCGCTCTGCCCTGTCCCCTCTTCTTTTATTGGTGTTTGCGCTTTTGATTATTAACATTATTTGGCTACATACTCTGAACAAGTATTGAGTGGGCACGAGGGCTCAATTAGGCGTTCGGACGTGAACTCGACTCAGCGTGTATCGCGAACGAATGCCATAACAACGTTCGGCGAAAACTCCTATTCAACCACGCGCTTAGTGCCAAGAAGCAGCCACCGCCAATTGTGCTTGCTGACATTTTGAAACGGGTCACTTGAATAGATGATTTCAACGCGTATGCTTTCCACGCGAGTTCATTAAAGTCAAGCCTGGATTATACCAATTAGGGGGCAAAATTGATTAATTACACGCGTGAAATTCGAAGACTCGAGTCATACATACTAACTCATTTGCAGCCTTAAAGCGCGTAAATAGGTTTTTCAAAGGCTTCATATTCTAAGCGTGTTACGGGAGCACGCTTACATGGCTGGTAAACACAACAAATCAGATGCTGGCAATCTTGGCATCCAACTAAAGATACTTTTACGAGCGACAAGTTTACAACCGACAAGTACGTAAAAAAGCTCTACTATGCGTAGAATCGGTCAATATAGATGGTGTAAATCACGCATGCGAAAGAAATCACAAACCCTTCTGACTACTCTACCATTCGACGTTCAAGAACACTGATTCGCTGGTGACCGTCCGCAATTGTGAAGGTTACAGGTATGCTGCTTTTCTGCAGTGCCACACTAAGGTAACGCGAATGCTTTTCAAAAAGGGAGTTCGCCTGATCACCTTACTTTTAGCCCGCATTTTTCCACACCCCTCTCACACCATTCAAGATATAAAGGGTGTTCCACGCAACAGCCCCTTATTATACAATTAAAATGCTTGTGTCGCTTAAAATGAGGGTGCTGAGGGGGTGGCCATGAGCGTAAGTTTCTGAACTAGGATTTTTACGCATAACAAATAAAAAGCGCAAAAATCAAATAAGCACTAATGGCAAAAAAGGAAAAAATAGCGCTTGTTACGTCAATGTGTGTGTACTTGCCCTTCGCGCTATTTATTTGTAATGTTCATATCGAACTAGCCCACCCTTAATATTTTAGGCTTTTTACCCTCTAAAAATGTAAATTTTCTTAGTGTGTGGGTCACATTATTCCCACGCACGTAGGAAAGCTCACACTAATTATGCCACGTGTTTTACGAATGTAAGGTGGCTATCAACGAAAATGCCAACGTCTCGAACACGCTTTATGGCCAATAAAAAGAGCCCGATTTATAGTCGTTGTTAATAAATAAATAATTGGTAGGGAACTTCACATATGGCACTTGGTCAATTATAGTCATGGGTATAGCCTTAGTTGTCTTCCGTTTTAGGGGGCATTCCGCTCAGCAGTTAAACATTTGAGAAATTTGTGACCTTAGGTGCAGTTGTCCTGGTTACCGACCTTCCTTCGTTTTTTTCAGAGAGCATAAAGTACAATTTATGTTCTAATCCAGCTTTAGACATGTTCAGAAACTGAGAGCAAAGCACCGGCGGCAGGGAGCAACCTGTACGTGCAGGTCCTTGTACATGCCTGTCCTCGTCCCTTCCCTTGTTTAGCTTTCATTACATTAGTAGAAAATGAGTTCTCTGACTTCCGCGAGCAGACCTATGGGTTGAGTTAGCATTAAAAAGTAGGGCTGGACATTGATTAAAACGTTTAGCCCGATTAATCGACACCCTTTAATCCAATAATTAGTAGATTAATAGATAGTGTTGATTTCCAGGCATAATAGTGCCGATACGGCGAGAGCACAATTTACTTTTATGCGCTTATGTGTGATAAACGCTACAATGTGTATCTTCAACTCGGGATAAACACGTGCAGTTAAGTACTGTCCGAAGACTCCCAGGTTAATATTCCTCCGGCGAAAACAACGCGGAAGGATTTTTCTGGTATTCTCAAACATGAAGGACTTGTGTTTTTTTTTTGTTTTTTTTTTCCACAATAATGTTTATTATGTCATCTGTGAACGATCCACGAAAAATAGAGGCCACGAAAATAAAGGGTATTACAGTATCCCACTGATTTGGTTCCCAGGCTGATTATTGAAACCGAGCCACCGGACTTTGTCCCTCTCGGGAATCTCCGACTGCCAGCAACTTGCTGTCCTTGAGGAGCGCCCTCTCTGCTCTGGACGCCGCGCTCCTGTGTGTGGCGGCCTCCAAGAAAACCAGATACTGTTTTCGTAAATTGAACACGGCCTTCTTGCTGAAACTGTTGCTATAATTGAGCTTCATGGTGACGAACAGGATTGTGTTTGCGTTTGAAAAGAGCAACACGATGACAAAAACAAAATTTTCAAGAAAAGTTGTTTTAAATTTTTGTCTCCTGTTACCCGCTTTCAAGTTCAACAGAATAACGGATTAAATATATAGTCACGACTATTAATCAATCAATTGGAAGTTTAATCGATAAATCACCCTGCCCTATAATAGAATGTAGCCTACTTTGTCGAGTGCTCATGCAATCGGAGCAATCAGCACAGCTGCGTGGGCACATCCAGTTATTTAGATAGAGCTGTATACAATTTTAGATGTCGTGCATGTATAGAGGTATATTATCATGCGGTAAACTGATCATCATGATCTGTTTATCTGGGAATATTGACCGTTATGGTACACCGTTAGATCGTCTTCGCTTCGATGAGGAGGCTTGCGCTGTCGTCGCTTTCTGCACAGCACGTGCAGCAGTTCTGAACACATGTGGCATTGAAGCGGTAAATTATAATTAGTTATAAAAAAATGTCAGTTGTATTTTATTTATAGCGTAGTTTTTATCAACGAAATTTATGTTCATCGAATTAATTATTATTATCTGTAGTAGGAGTTTTGTTAGGATTACTGCTCACATCTTGGGTTTCATATAATTAGTCACAAGCAGAAAAGCTCCAAACATCGAACTAACGAAGAACAAAGAAGGGTGGTTTCATTTGAAATCGAACACGCGTGTCGGGGGGGGCCTTTCGACTTGCATCAAGAAATTTCTAAAAAAAAAAATCCAATTTCATATATTGGTTTAGAAATATCTCTTCAAAATGTTTGAGGTGATGCAAGATGAAGTGCTACATTTGGACTGCTTTAGTTTTGTACTTTAATCTAATCATTTTTGGGTCTGTTCTTTTTCGCATGCAGTCTTCTTCCTTCCCTCGCATATATGTGGCTCAATCGTGGTATTCATTTTGAGTGTACCGCTTAAAGTTATGTTATGCAAAGCTATTCATAAAGCTCATGAGGGACCTTAGAATTGTTGAGAGGTAGTCTTGTAAAGGAAGCGCGTTTCTACAAAATACACATTTTGTTTTCTGAGTCAAAGGTTAAAAGGTGCGTACTGAAAAAGGACGAAATTGTTTGCCCTCAGGTAGAGTTTGCGCCTGTGGTGTAAAATCCAGCATCTGCCGCACGCAAATATTACATTTAACTTTTTTTTTTTCTTTTCTGTTCGAAGGCATTGTTTAATCATTGCATTCTGGCCGGTTTCATTTCAAACCGAACACGCGCGTCAAGATGGTTATTTTGATTTACAAAAGATTTTTTTTATTATAACCTCATTTCCGCAATGTACAAAACAGAATTTTACGATTGGTTAGAAATATTATTTTTCCTTTCAAAAAGTTTGAGTGAATGCTATATTTAGGCTGCTTGATTGGTGTACTCAGTTCTGTCGGTTGTTATAATTAGGTAACAAAAACACTCACAGTAACTTTTCTTGTAAATGTATGACGCATCGCCTATTTTGTTTTTACCTTAAAACTAACCTGCTTTAGCATATTACATGCCTAAAATAAAAATTAAGAAACCAAACATCGCATTTTAGACGTTTTGGTGACATATTTGGACCCTTGCATTTTAGCTTACTTTGCTTATTAAATATAATACTTATGTAGGCGCATACATGTCCTATCGTGTCGAACCATATTAGTTTAAATCAAAATATAAATTTAACGATACTTTGAACCTGCTTCATTCAAAAAACAATTTTGTAGTTCTTCCATATTTCTTTGTATTGTTCCCAATAATGTTAAAGTTATGTGGGCATAATCGAAGTTCCTAATTTTTTGTTTTAGTTTCTGTAGAAGCGCTAAAACACACACACACACACACACATATGTATATATATATATATAACATTTTACAGCAACCCGAGAATTAGGAAAAAAAACGAACGCTGACCCCAATTATAAATAATAATTTGGTAATATCGGGTGCACCTCAAGGCTGTATTTTAGGGCCTTTTCTTTTTAACGTTTATGCCAATGATATCATAAACATTGACCAGTCCACTAAATTTGTTGTATATGCTGACGATGCGACGCTTTTTACAGCTGATGAGGCACATTAACTTATATCTATGGCCAACACAGTATTACATAAATTAGGAATATGGACCAATAGAAACGCTTTAAAAATAAATCCCAATAAAACGAAAGCTATAATATTTAGGCCGAAAAATGAAGTTATTTCTGCACTAGGACGGATTTATATAAACACAGTAAATATTGAAATGGTTGACTCATCCAAAACGCCTGGCGTTGTGTTTTCACAAGCATGTCATGTGACCATCATATTGAGTACTTAAAAACAAATTAGCAAAAGTTGTAGGTCTGCTATATCGGAATCGATATATATTTCCCAGCTCAATTAAATTATTACTATATAGATCTCTATTTTTTCTTATTTAAATTACTGCCACCTGGTTTGGGGTACTACCACGGCAACATATCTTAAGATAATACACTTACTCCAAAAACTAATGTTACGTACAATTGCTAATGTGCCCTTCTGCTCGCATACAAAAAACCTGTTCAGAATGTATAACATATGGTATTAAGTATCCACAACATGTACAATTATAGGCTTACTACAAAGTATAAGCATGAATTGTTCGATAACCGTACTTACATAATTGAACTGTCTGGTTTAAACCAACGCATTCCCAATTATCTATTTCGCAACCCTGAATACTACAATATACCCACTTGCCGATTAAACCCCTTTAAAAGAAATGTTACCTTACAGATTACCTAAACTGCTGAATTATTTTATTCTCAGTGATATTCAATTAGATACGATCACCATGAAAGAGTTGCGTGCGTTGATGTACCAGTTTGTTATAGCAGACTAATGCGTTTGGTGTGCGTGTGTGCTTTTTAGTTCTCTCTCGCCCTGTCACTACTTTAAATACAATTCGGGGGCCGAGAGCTCGTCAAGCCGTTTCGTGTGGCTTTTTTTCTCGGCCTCCACCATTCTAAATGGGAAATAAATATATTTTTATTATACGATGAAGAAATGAAGAAGGATACGTTTTCCTTATCTTCTCTTGGTATCAACTGTCGTTTTTAATCAGTCTCGGGTTGCTTAAAAATGTTCAGTATACACCAGCTCACTTGGGCCTTTACGTAGTGTTCATATATATACATCAGGGCCGTACCCAGAAAAAAATTTGTGGGGGGGGGGGGGGGGGGGGGGGGGGGGGGTTTCGGGGACAACGGCGGCCATTTTGTCTTATTTTCGCCTATGAATCATGTGCATCGGTGGCATATAATGGAGAGTTATAGCAAACCGAAGAACCGGTCCCGGTTTGGTATCCGGTAGCCGACCGGTGCCACTGCGCATGCGCAGAGGTGGAGATTAAAATCGGCTGGCTGCAAGTGCACCGACCAGGGCCGTACCCAGAAAAAAATTTCGGGGGGGGGGGGGGGGGGGTCGGAACCCCCTAACCCCCCCCCCCCCCCCCCCCCCCCTGGTTACGGCCCTGATATACATATATACCCCCTAATCGGTAAAATGGTAGTTTCGCGAGTTGGCTTCACTGCAAGGTATTTTTGCCTTAAAATGCTGATTGGGGGCGGAAATGTCTTAGTATGTGAAGAAGCTACGGATTGAGTGAGCGAAAGCATACATTTCTTTTTACGAAAGAATTGCCTGCCTTGACTAAGTTATCCCAAGGAAAGAGAGGTAGGGGTGGAGGTAGGTGATAACGTCAATACTAGCTGAGGTGATGACATACCACTTTGTTTTTATTACCTTTCAAGTTAAACAATATACGCACCCGTTTGATTTCCTGGGTTTTAGCAGGTTGTTCGTCATAATGCATAAACATCTAAATTCTTCACTTTTCTTCGTACTAACTCATGCAAGTATTGCAGAGAGAAGATATGTCCAAAGTTTCACCACCTCTTTTCCTTTCATATGCTTGATCATTATTAAAACAAAACGTGTAATGATGTCATCAAGCAGAACTTATCTGTCTTTCGCGTTGTCATTTGTGACTAATTGTATCTGACGAAATAATCCTTTGTGTTTTAAGACCGATTGGGCGCTTTGCCAGGACAAACCCTATATCTTTTCTATGGTCAACGGAAGCGCGTAGAATGCAAGGCATGGTGTCTCCCGGGCTTCCTCTTATCACCTCGCTTTCAGCGAAATTGCGGCACGAATGAACAAAGGCGCCGATGGAGAAATCACAAAAGCACGAACATTATTAGCCACGACCAGAGGCCCTAAACGCTTCTGACGCCAGCGCCCATTCGACGCTGGTGACAGGAGCGCGAAGTCATCGTCATGATAATCGAATCGGTGCGCTCCGTACACTTCGGCCCCAACTTCGTGCTCAACGAGTTTAGAACTTCCATAGTAACCAAAGACACCGAATGATTAAAAAAACAGACAAAACAACAAGTCTTATGCACAGTTTCTATGCCCCTCAAACACAGCCCCTGTGCTCCTCAAGCTGTCAGCAACTCCCAGACGTCACAAAACCACAGTGGCGCTGCTGTCGGCACTGCGCATGCGCACATGCTTCGCCTCGGGCGAATCTGGCTCGTGCGCACGCGCAGTGCCCACACCGGGTATGGGCAAACACGGGCTCGTTTGTGAACAGCGCGCTGGCCGATGGGAGACGCTCTGCATGGACGCGTGTCATGGGGTGCATGCGTATGAGTAAGAGTATAGCGCCTGCCATTATGCGCACGTACTATGCTCCACTTCACTCGAGTCCTATCGCAGCCAAAGGTGAAATTAGGTAATTAGTTAGCTAATTAACTAAAATGTTTTAACTAACTTTTTAATTTTTAACTTGAGAGTACATAATGTATTTATAGAATTGAAGCTCGACCTCAACATGGTCTAGCCCTGCTATCAAAGTTTGATTAAAAAATTTGTAGTAGGTGCTACGGGGTCAAGAAATTTTACATTCGTACACGGCGTCAAACGGAAACTAAGCGAGGAAGAGCGCCGGTAAAGTTTTCGCTCTGCCCTTTTGGGCATGCGATTTGTTATTATCGCGGCCGGCTCCACTTGCTTAGGCGAAGCTGGCTGCGATAACGACGATCCACGGGGGCCGGAAGGGCGGAGCGATTACTTTACCCGCGCTCTTTCTCGTTTAGTTTAGGTTTGACGCCGTGTACCAAAGTGACATTTCTTGACCTCGTAACACCTACTACACATTTTTAACCAAACTTTGATGACAGGGCTGGATTATATTGATGTCGAGCTTCAATTCTCTAAATACATTATGTGCCCTCAAGTAAAAAAATTAAGTTAGTTAAAACATTTGAGTTAATTAGCGAACTAATAACAAATTCACCTTTTTTCTTGTGGCCGCCATGGCCATTAACACTTCCCCAGGGCTTAA